AGAGTGATCATGAGAACATAAATGATTTCAGGCCTATAAAATGCTCCAGGCAGTGCCTGGCACATAGTAAGTATCCCATGAACTTTAGCCATAGTTATCTGTAGTTAGGTACATGTTCCGGGCCAGGCATGGGGGATCCACAATTGAAAAGATGGCTTTCACGGAACTAATTCCAGATACTAAGTGCTCTGCAGAAAATAAAGAGGGTGTTGCGATAGCCAGTGATTGGGAGGCAGGAAGTAGACCATTGCATTCAGTGGCCAAGAAAAACCCTTGTGTGGTGCTTATGGCTGAGCCAAGTCCCAAGTGGAGAAATGGAGCCCTCACGTGAGCGCAGGGCTGTCTCAAGTTTTGGTCTTAGAGGACAGGAGCTTTGCATCTCAGAATTCATAACAGGCAGATGGCTGTTTTGATGTCTCCTTTTTTGAAAAAGACCGATAACACATCGGTATATATTTTGATCCTTTTATATCCTTGCCTTTGTATTTGTCAAACAAATGCCAGGAGCCTTGTGGCCAGGGCGTACTCCTCCTCTTATTCATGCCATAAACTCCAATGGGACTGTGGCCAAGTCAAGGAGGCTTTGTGGGTGCCAATGTGCTTTTACTAATTGATTCTGCTTGACTTCCTGCCTTGCTGAACCTCTTCTTGATCCCCTTGCTTTTCTTTTCCTGTTCCTTTGAAAACCCTTCCTTTTGTTGTTTTAAGTCATTGTCTCCTTGATATGAAAAGCGCTTCAGTAAGCCAAAGGCATAATTATATTGAATGAATAAAAAAGAAAACCTGACTGTCCAATGGAGAATGAGTTTTCTCTATGCACTGTAACCTTGGGCATCTGGAGAGGAAGACATCTTCCTTCTTCCTCTTCCCCTTTCCTTCCCAGACTAAGGAAAGCCTGGGTAAGGGGAAAAATTGAATTGGCTGCCCTTAGGAAGTATGCTTTGAGCTGTGAACAGTAGCTAAGGAAAGGTTGCCAGAGTCCTGTTCCCTTCTGTTGAGATTCGTAAGGGCTCCTGTGTGCTCTTCACTGCCCTTGGAAAACAACAACAACAACAACAAAACTGTCCCATTCCACAGGGCTATGTGCCTATTCTTGTACCAGTACCAGGCTGTTTTGGTAACTATAAGCTTGTAGTGAAGTTAAACGTTTGGAAGTGTGATACCTCCCACTTTACTCCTTTTGTTGAGGATTGTTGGGCTATTTGTACTCTTTTTTATTTCCATGTGAAATTCTGCATTGTCATTTGCACCAGGTTTAAGAAAAATTTTGTTGTTAGTTTGATAGGTATTGCATTGAATCTATAGATTGCCTTGGGTAGAATGGGCATCTTGTCAATACTGATTCTTCTGAGTTGGAGACCATCATACTAAGTGACCTATCATAGAAACAAAGAACTGAATGCTGCATGTTCTCACACATAAGAGGGCACTGAGCATTAATCACATTAGCACAAGGGAGAGATCAGCAGTCTCTGGGCACTGCTAGGAGAGGGAGGGAAGAAAGAGGATGGAGTGCATATAACAACACAAAGCATACCTGATCCTATACCGGGGGAGTAAGGGTCAATTAGAAGCCCAAATTTCACCTGCATTCAGCCTACTTATTTAGTTAGTCCTCACTTGTACCCCACATCTCTATAATAAAATAAAATGTAATAAAAAACTTTATGTATACATATTTAGTTGAAATAGAATAGGCATAAACCAATAAAAAGAAACAGAGTAAAGTGACTGCCATTTTGTTTGCACGGAGAAGTCAGGAAATGGAACAAATTACCAGAAAAAAATATTCTAAGGCCATCCCAAATTAGCTAGGTTATATAATGTTAAATTTCAGATGTCAAAATTAAGTATTAGCCCACTTAGTCCACAAATTTAAAAAAGGGGGAGTCAAAAGTTTATCCTGTTTAGTATAATAATTTTTGCATTAAACATATAGTGATTCATTTCTCAGAAAGTAATACTGGCAACTTTTAGAAGAATTAAGTTTCCATTATGTGTTGACTAGAACATCTCAAATACAATGCAGCAGCTATGCTATAGCTCAGTAAGTACCACTGAACTGTTCTAGGCTCCTCACTGCCCTTTTGAGGCAGGAGGGCCACTAGGAGGTGTGCATGGAATGGGGAGACTTTTTGTGAAGCTCAGTGGTCCTGGTATGAAAATTGAAGGCCCCTCAGGAACCTGTGAGATGCATGCAACCAGCTTCCAACAGTATCTCTAGGACAACTGCCTTCAAACTTTTAACTATCACCCACAATTTATGTCATACCCCAGCTCCACATAAAATTATCCTTGTTCCTCCTGTGTGTGATGCATTGTGCTATTTTCTATTCGATTTTATTTTTCTTAATATTGGTCATCTCTCTCAAAATTGATTTAACTGACTACTAAGTGGGTTGGACCTGAAGATTAAAAAATGCTGTTGAATAACTAAAAGACATCTGTCTTACATTTTTCTGTGAATTTCCTGGTTTTGATAGCATATCTATTTAAGTACCCAAATTACGTCAAGAGTCTCAAAAACTTTGTACCATTCGATTCAGTAATTCACCTTTGATGAATCTACCTCAGGAAAGATTGTTACCAGGAGAGGAGTTAAGTGACCATTGTGCACATTTTGTTTTCAGTCAGACATTTAACAATTTAATAGGAAAGATTAAAATATGAAAGATCGGAATGATTTTTAGACTGTGAAGGAAATTTTAAAACACTGAATTCATCTTTTTTTATCCAAAGATATAGTCACAGCTAGTTGAACAACTATACCTAAAGAGTATTTCTTAAGGGTTCAGTGATAATCTGGAGGAAAGCTCTGATGATACTCCACTGGCCTCTGACTCAAGTCCTAATGTGTGGAACCTTTTGACCACCAATGACTTGAATGAAGACATAGAAGACAGCTTAGCCAGTCTACAGATGACAAGATAAAGCATTTGGTTCAAATAACTAGGATTCAGACATAGGAAAGATGCAAAAACATAAAGAACCTCTGTGGAAGTTCATAATGCCAGTGGTACAAAAACCTGCTGGGAGCAAACATGACTTACTCTTCTAGGATGCTGTTTAGCAGTCTTCCTCCTTCCCCCTACCCTGGTCAAAAATATCTCCAGATATTACCAAATGTGCTCCAGGGTACAAAATGCCCAAATGTGCTCCAGAGTACAAAATGCCCCTTACATGTTGAGAACCACTGAGATAAACTGATGTACTACTAGGAGAAAGACCTCATAGATTTTTGTTGACTGTAAATGCAATATAAACTGTTAGAGTTAGGGTGCAGAGGGGCACAATACCCCTGGAGCCGGTGTGCTGGAGGTGTGTGCTGGTAATGAGAGATCCAAGTAATGCAAAGATTTGCAACACACAAAAAGATAAAGGAAGAAAAGATTTATTTAAGAAAAAAGATCACTTCCCATAGATAGGAAGAAAGCTAGACAGGAAGAGGGCCAGCACTCTAAGATGAGTGTGGCCCTTTAGTCCCCAAGCCCCTGACCTAAATCCCTTCTCTGGAGATTTTGCAATCAGGTGGTCATGAATGCCGTGACCTCCTTGTTGACCACTTGCTGATGTCTTCAAGACCCTGGGTGAGGTGTGGTCCTGGTCATCAGGCATCGAGTTGCAGGGTCTCATCACTCTCAGGAGTTTGTTCTAAGATTACAGTGGGCCGATACTGGTCATGCTTGAGAGATCTGGGTTTCTAGAAAGACAAAGTCGGCAAGGTTAATCCTTACCTAGAGTATACATTTCTCCAGGACACAGTTTCTATTTTCTCATCACTGTGGTAAGATCTAGGAACAAAACAAAATGGCTTCCCGTTCTCAGTCGGTCCTTTCATAAATATCGCCAGCAAAAATGGCAAAGCAAATGCAATCTGAGACTGCATTATTACTCTTACTAAGAATAACCGTTCATTACAGAGTCCTTACTCTGTACCTGGATCAAAGCCAAGATCCTTACATATGCATCCTCCTTAATACCCATAGGAATGTTTTGAGGTAAGAATAATGCAGTTATCTCCATTTCTCAGACGTGGACAGGACAATGGTATGTAGGGACATTAAGTAACTTGCTTGAGGTCTCACAGTCAAGGTGGGAGACCTAGGGCTGTGTCACTCCAGGGTCTGCACATTTGCCCACTGTACTGTGAGAGTTTTATAACCTAATCACACACAGTAGCACCCCAGGATGCAGTCAATGCCCTCCTCATCGATCTGGAACCTGGGTGAGAAGCAGAAATAAGTAACAAGTAACCTAGACCACCCCCCGACTTCGTAAAGCAGGAACTTGCCCTGAAGCTGAGGTCCCAGCCTCCAGTCAGTTCATTTACTTAATTAACTCATACACAATTTTAATAAGTTTATTCTTATATCACCAGGGTAACAGAGTAGCTTTTATGTTTTCTTTCTTGTTCGTTTTTTGTTTTTGTGTTGGGATTTTATTCTGTCACCCAGGCTGGAGTACAGTGGCACAATCACAGCTCACTGCATCCTTGACCTCCTGGGCCCAAGTGATCCTTCCACCTCAGCCTCCCAAGTAGCTGGGACTATAGGTGTGCATCACCATGTCCAGCTATTTTTTTGTTGTTTTTTTTGGAGGGACAAGATCTCATTATGTTGCCCGGGTTTGTCTCAAACTCCTGAGCTCAAGTGATCCTCTTGCCTCAGCCTCTCAACTGTTGGGATTACAGGTGTGAGCCACTTTGCCAGACCTAGAGTAACTTTTAGAAAGATTGTCAATAAAAGTGGCTAAGGGTACTGGTGGCACTTCAAGGGTTAAGTTTCCATTATCTGCGATTGTTTTGCTTTCTGGGACCTCAGTTCTTGGGCTCTGTGGCTCCAGGTCCAGGTGCGGAAATCACCAACATCAACCTCCTACTCCCCAGCCAGGGCCTGCTGAAGTGCCCACTGAGACTGAGTCATAAAATTAGGGGGCAGGATGGCAGAAGGCCTAAAAACTAGACAGGAATCTCATCTGAGTCAGAACCAGTGGCCACAGAAATGACTGAGAAGCATCAGGGGATGCCTGAGCCTGGGAAGTCACACCCGGGCGTGACTCGTTCCCTCCTCCTCTTCCAAGTGGCAGCCTTGGAACTGAGGTCCGTAGACCTGCAGAGCCCCAGGAACAACAAGGAGCACCACACGCAGGAGATGGGCCTCAAGCGGCTTATCTTGCGCCGTGGCCAGCTCTTCCACCTCCAGCTGAGCTTCAACCGACCCTTCCAGTCCCAGAGCGACAACGTCACCTTTGTGGCTGAGACCGGTGAGTTCGCCCTGCCCCAAGGCCCTGCAGACTCCCTCAAAATAGGGGTGTTAGCAAAGTTCACCTGCAGGGCCCCTGCCTCTCCTTTCTGAGCTGCCCTCTCCTCTCTTCTCCCAGGAACCTTTCGTGCTCAGTAGCCTATTAGGGCTGTTAAGGAAGGATTTGGCCTTAACTAAAGTTGTGGCAATAACAGCCAACCTTTAAATACACAACAAACACAGTGCTGAATCTTCACACACATTTTCTCATTTAATACCCATGACAAGACTTTTGGTTGGGTACTGTTATGATTTCCATTTTACAGATTACAAAACTGAAGCCAGCGTGGTGGCTCACGCCTGCAGTCCCAGCACTTTGGCAAGCTGAGGAGAGAGGATTGCCTGAGCCCAGGAGTTCGAGACCAGCCTGGGCAACTTGGCGAGACCTTGCCTCTACAATAAATAAAAAAATTAGCCGGGTATGGTGGTGTGTTCCAGCTACTTGGAAGGCTGAGGCAGAAAGATCACCTGAGTCCAGGAGGTTGAGGCTGCAGTGAGCCATGATCATGCCACTGCACTCCAGCCTGGGCGACAGAGTGAGACTCTGACTCAAAAACACACAAACAACAACAAAAACTGAGGTCCAGAGACCTTAGGTGGTTTGTTCAAGGACACCCAGCGGCAGTAAAGGCCAAAAGGATTAGCAAGTGGTGAGAGGTGGGGCTCCTTCCAGTACCCCTGGGATCTTCTTATACTACATAGATTTCTGAGCCTCACTTTGGCATCATTCTCTTTTACTCAGGACCCGAACCCTCAGAGCTACTGGGGACCCGAGGCACGTTCTTACTCACCAAGGTCCATCACGGCGATGTCTGGAGTGCTTCTGATTTCACTACTGACTCCAGCTCTCTCCAAGTCTCCCTTTTCACGCCAACCAATGCAGTTATCGGCCCTTACAGTCTGACGTTAGAGATCTCTCAGGGCCAAGGTCACAGTGTGACTTACCCACTGGGGACTTTCATCCTGCTTTTTAACCCTTGGAACGCAGGTAGGGCTTGCTCACAGATTATAATTTTAACCTGATCTACTGGGAAGACTCTGTGATGTTCTTTGGAGAAAGCCTTGAAGATAAATTACTGTATATCTATGCGATATATTATGTGCTCTCACCAAAAATCATCTGACAAAATTTATTTCTACAATAAACTTTTTACTTTTACAATCAGGAAAAGGTAATCATTTTTTTAAAGTATAGATTATATTTTCTGGCTTCTAGAAAAGCATATAAACTTTTAAGGGGATCCAGGTTTTTAAAGTATATAAATAATATTATTGTTATAAGGGGGTCCAGTTTTAGTTTCTGTTGTCATCAACCCACTGACTGTTTTCCAGACTCTTGTTTTCCAGAATGATACTGTTGTTACTGTTTTTTCTTTTCTTAACTTTTATTATTCTGTTTTTTGGCTTGGGATTTTGCCCTCTCCGCCACTCGTAACTGTTCAGAGGATGACGTCTACCTGCCAAGTGAAATACTACTGCAAGAGTATATAATGAGGGATTATGGCTTTGTTTACAAGGGTCATGAAAGATTCATCACCTCCTGGCCCTGGAACTATGGGCAGGTAACACTATCACCTGGATGTGCCTGGATGTGGGCCTGTGGTGGGCTTGTTAAGGCTGGTCCTTGGACAACTCTGTTAGCTCATGAAGGGCTAACAAAGGCCAGGGTTTGAGGTCCTGGGCCAAATTCTCATTCAGTGGGAGGGGCAAGGAAAGGAGGGAGATGCCTTTCCTTTTTAATTTTTAATATTTTCTTGTAAAAAACTCAAAGCATAATCAAAATAGACAAGCTAATATGACAAATCTCCATGGTCCCATCTCTCACCTTCAACAGTGATCAATTTATGGCGAGTCTTATTTAACCTATACCAGGGATTTGTAAACTATAGTCCGTAGGCCAAAAGTGTCCTACTGCCTGTTTTTGTAAGGTCTGCAAACTAAGGATGGTTTTCACATATTTAACTTGTTGCAAAAGAATTTTAAAAGAATAATGTTTTCTGACATGTGAAAATTATATAAAGCTGACATTCAAGTGTCTATAAATAATATTTTATTGAAACACAGCCATGATCATTTAGATATTGTCTGTGGCTTCTTTCATAGTACAACAGCAAAGCTGAGTTGTTGAGACAGAGACCCTATGGCCTGCAAAGGCTAAAATATTTACTATCTGGTTCTTTTTTTTTTTTTTTGAGTTGGAGTCTCACTCTGTCACCCAGACTGGAGTGCAGTGGCCGCTCCGGGCCACCGCAGCCTCGACCTGCTGGGCTCCGGCGATCCTTCCGCCTCAGCCTTCCAAGTAGCTGGAACTATAGGCACACGCTACCACGCCTGGCTAATTTTGGATTTCTTGTAGAAATGAGGTCTTGCAAGTTGCCTAGGCGGGTCTCGAACCCACAGGCTCAGGCAATCCACTCACCTCCCAAAGCTCTGGGATTACAGGTTGAGCCACCGAGTCTGGCCTACTATCTGGTTCTTTACAGAAAAACTTACCCATCCCAGTCTATACTCTTTCATCCCTGTCCCCACCCCCCACCTCACCCTTGGGTTTTTTGGGAAGCAAATTACAGACACCATATCATTTAATCCAGTAACACTTCAGAATATAGCTCTAAAATATGATGACTCTTTCTGAAAAACATAACCCCCAATATACTATCCTAACTGAAAAAAACGAACAGTAATTCTTTAATAATATCAAATATCCAGTCAATGTACAGCGGGGGATCTGGGCAACTTTTCTACTCTCAAGCACCAGCCTTAGATGCTGTGGTTTCTCCCTTCCTCCCACTGCCACCTCAGTTCTGTTCTCAAACTCCAGGAGGGAAGGGTAGGGGGAAACAGTGTCCTTGCTGGGGAAGATCACATTTCCTCCACTCTCCAACTGTGGCAACCTGTGACATATTTGAAACTGAGGTGAATACCAGTGCATTTGGCAGCCAAAGGGTTGAGACACATAGTGTAACCATATGCATTGTGAGCCTACCCTGGCTTCTCAAGGGCCCACAGTGTTTGCTCTACATGATTTCAGGACTTGCCACTATCTTCTCCCTCTCCTCGAAGGCCTGGTCCCACACTTATCCCTACACTTACCTGATCTTTTCCTGCTCCCTCAAGTCCTCCAGATAGACAACTACCTAAGTCCTTCCAACATACTTAAAGACCTCAGGTGTCCTCTCTTCCTGCCTACTCCATCCTTCAAAGTCCATTGGCTCCCAGAGCCTTCTCTGATCCTTTCAACCAACAGCATCTCTCGCTCTCTGAACTGTTTGCATTTTCCATCAGAGTCACACAGTTTAGTTTTTCAGGATTCAGAATTGAATACAGTCCCAATTTGATTTATAAGCTCTTTGAAGCCAGGACCTTGTCTTGTATTTAGCAACCCCCACCCAGCTCCCCCATACACACTATCCCTAAAAGTCTGTTAGTGACTTAAAGTTTCAGAATTCTAGACATTTTGCTCTTTTCTTGTTTCTCCCTCGAAATCACTGGGAAGTTTGAAGAGGACATCATAGATATCTGCTTTGAGATTCTGAACAAGAGCCTGTACTACTTAAAGAACCCATCCAAGGACTATTCCCAGCGGAACAACGTGGTGTACGTGTGCAGGGTGGTGAGTGCCATGGTAAGGCTGGATGCTCCCTGCTGTATCTGAAGATGGTCTGATCTCCCCCTGGACGCTGCAGAAACCCACCTGTCTGTGCTTTGTAGATCAACAGCAATGATGACAGCGGTGTGCTGCAGGGGAACTGGGGTGAAGACTACTCCAGGGGGATCAGTCCGCTGGAGTGGAACGGCAGTGTGGCCATCTTACGGCAGTGGTCGGCCAGGGGCGGGCAGCCTGTGAAGTATGGACAGTGCTGGGTCTTTGCATCTGTTATGTGCACCGGTGAGTGAGGAGTCACTTAAACTTCATAACCCTTTGAGGCTGGGCTCTGATTATCTCTATTTTCAGATCGGCTAACTATGGTTCACAAAGGCTCAGTCGTTAGTCTGTTGGCCCACAGCTACTGGGCATCAGGTGCTGGGCACCTGGGCTCTGAACCAGCACCCCAAATAGTCGAAGTTTGCCTGTTATTTTTTATTTATTTATTTATTTTTTGAGTCAGAGTCTCACTCTGTCGCCCAGACTGGAGTGCAGTGGCCACTCCCGGCCACGCAGCCTCGACCTGCCGGGCTCCGGCGATCCTTCCACCTCAGCCTTCCGAGTAGCCGGAATTATAGGCATGTGCTACCATGCCCAGCTGATTTTTTTTTAATTTATTGTAGAGATGAGGTCTCGCTGCCCAGGTGGGTCTCGAACCCACGGGCTCAGGCAATCCACTCACCTCAGCCTCCCAAAGGCGCGGGATTACAGGCTGAGCCACCGAGCCCGGCCAGTTCGCCTGTTATAATGGTCACCTAGATAGAGGAGCTCAAGGTCCCAAACCAGAACTCAAGCAGCATCTTTCTGCCACCTGCTCAGGTCTCTCAGCTCAAAGTAAGCCTGGAATCAGGTACAGGTGGAAGCAGATGGCCTGAAATAGCCTGATTTCACCCTTAGGCAGAGCTGGTGGCTCCCAAATGATTCTTTGAGACTCTTGAAGAATTACAGTTAGAGCTTTGCTACTTTGCTAACTACCCTTAAAGAGCATCAATGTTTTAATGCATTCTCAGTTATTTACAATTCAGTGCAAAGTTGTTGATTATCTGTGACGATGAGGAAAAGATGGAGAGAACTGAGCAGCCTGACTGTCTCCCCCTTGCAAGGCCAGGATGCCTTACACACAGCTAGCCTTGTAACATTCAAGAGCTCAATAAACGTTTGCTGACTCTGAACTGGAGAAGGGGAAGGACAGAGACAGGGGCCAAAGTTCCAGACCTTCCTGAGAGGGGCAGTATAGCCTGGCAGTAATGTACAGGTGCTGCAGACAGAGAAGAGTTTTAAGTCTGAGTGTTTGAATCAAGTGACCTTACTTTGCTCATCTGTGAAGTGGGGCTACTTGGTATTCCCAATTTTCTCTTGGGCTGGGACGGCTCCAGGCAGTGGCCAGGTTGACGGTAGGGAGGAGGCCTGAGATGAGTGGGAGAAGGACGAGATCCACAACCTTGCTCTGCCTTTGAGCTTCTTCCCACTCCCAGGCTCTGGGGCCACTGAGCACCAAGAGCTGCCCCTGCCGAGCTGTCTCTGGCCACATGCAGCCCAGGTCTGGCTCCCATACTTGCTAAAGATCTGTAACAAGCCCAGTAGCTGAGCTGTGAGTAGACAGGTGACTATAGACAGGTGGCCCTCTTGGGGGCTCTTCTGTGAGTCCAAACAAAAGGATTGGTCACTCCCAATACTGTAGTCCTTTTAGTTTTCAAAATATCGTAACCCTTCTGGCAGCCTCAGTGGACACCGTCTGTTCCTCCTGGGAAGGAGAGGGGTGGCGTAAACTTCTCTCTCTGAACTCCTCACCATGCCGGCAAAAGTAGAATCTGTGTCCCCAAGGTCACACCTGGCTCTTGGCTTGGCTTGATTTCATCTGGCTCTGGGCAGCGGTGTGTGTGTGTGTGTGTGTGTGTGTGTGTGTGTGTGTGTGTGTGTGTGTGTGTTGGGTAATGTCTGCTTTGTGTGACGAGATCTGTGAAATCTTTATTCAACTTTAAGCCTTTGTGGTAGTACCCTGAGAAGCCACAAGAGGAAGCTGCTGCCTTATCAATGATGGTCATTGTATGTGATTTGTATCTCTAGAAGTCTGTCTTGTCCTTCTATCCATTCTGTAATTTCTTTTTTATCTCCCCCAACTCTTGTCTTTAAGTAGAATTATAGATCCAAAATTTCAGAACTGAAAATTATCTGTTCCAACTCCTCATTTTGTTACAAACAAGGAGACTAAGGCCCAGAGAAGTTAAGTCACTTACCTTAGGTCACACAGCTTCTCATTTGAAACTGGCCACAGCATAGTGCCAAAATTTTTTTCTTTATAGTTATCAAATGTTTTAGGTCCTCTGTTTTTAACTTGGAAAGCTGCAGAGTGGAAAAAACCCCAAAATAATAAATTGAGTTGTTGTTAGCTGTTGTTTTAAGTGATTCTCAAATGATGTTTTTCTCCTTGTGGAATGGAGACCATTGACAGGGCAGGTGGGCTGCAGGGTCTGGGACTGGGTGCAGTCCTCTGGGAATGAAGAAGTTTCAGGTGTGGATCTGCAAGAATCTCAGCTTCTTTCTCTCCTCCAGTTTGAAAGTTAGAAATTATGCATGGAAAACCAATAATTTGACTTGGAATGAACTCAGTGATTTTTTTTTCTTCTTCTTCTTCTTTTTTTTTTGCCTTTTTAGTAATGAGATGCTTAGGTGTTCCAACTCGTGTTGTTTCCAATTTCCGTTCTGCACACAACGTGGATAGAAACTTGACCATCGACACTTACTATGACCGAAATGCAGAGATGCTACCAACTCAGAAACGAGACAAAATATGGTGAGGGCACTGTCTTGAATAGATCTCTGCTCTCTCCCAGGTAGGGGAGGAAAACTGCCCTGGTTCTCTCTGAATCTTGAGGCAATATTGTCCTGAACATTGTGCTGATGTTCAGAGAATTCCCCAACCCAGGAGTTCTTGCTAACTAGATAAAATCAAACCCATTTCAGATATAGAAGACCATGGGATAGCATTCTGAAGACTCAGTCAAATAACTAGCTGTGCGTCTTCTGAATACTGACTTCAAAAAGTCTTTATTCATCTTCTTCTCAGAGTTTTCTGTTTCCACCATCCTGGTTCCCCTGTTGCAGTGGAGCCTGGACTTGCTACCTCTGTCATTCCTTCTAGTGGCTCTTGACTTCTTCTTCTCCTGCCTCACTCCCTCTCTTCATGCATGTGTGTATCTCTGTTCTCTTTCCCTGGTTCCGTTCACCTTTGCTCTACCTCAAATCTGGTTTTCCTCCTCCAGCCAGTTTCCAGATAAGACTCTGAATTATGTGAGAACTAGCTGCTGTGCTTGGAGCTCCCTCCTGCTCTGAGCTTCAACTTCTTGTCTGTAAAATGAAGATAGCATACAGACAACAACTCCACAGGGTTGTTAGGGCAAAATGAGATAAATGCAGGTAAGCAGGAGTTTTCAACCTAGAATTCACAGATATCCTCCCAGAAGACTGAGTCATCTTTGATTCAAGAAGCAGTGGTATATCTGAGAAGGATGTGTGACTTAGGTAGAATTCTGTCTGAGAATGCTTAACCTGAATCTGATCATGAGGAAACATCAGACAAGCCCAAAGTGGGAGCCACTCTGGCAAAAATAAATAACTAATAATAATAAAGACTGTTTTCAAGTGCCAATGTAAACAACAGAAAGAAAGGCTGAGGAGCTGTTCCAAGATCTAGACTGACTTCTGTGCCACATGGGAAAAGAATGCTCTAAAGGACATTATTAGGTCAACATTGATATATAGACAGTAGATTAGATAAGAGTATTATTATCAATATTAAAAGTGCTAAGGTTGATGAACTATATGAGGATTATATAAGAGAAGATCCCTATTCGTAGGAAATACACATTGAAGCATGTGTGTGTGTGTATCTGTACAGAGGGTTTCAAAAATAAATGTATACACATTTTAAGAAAGAAAAAAACTGTATTAAAATTGCAATACTCAGGCCGGGCTCGGTGGCTCAGCCTGTAATCCCAGCACTTTGGGAGGCCAAGGTGAGCAGATTGCCTGAGCCTGCGGGTTCGAGACCCGCCTGGGCAACTTGGCGAGACCTCATCTCTACAATAAATCAAAAAATCAGCCGGGTGTGGTAGCGCACACCTGTAATTCCAGCTACTCAGAAGGCTGAGGCGGAAGGATCGCCGGAGCCCAGCAGGTCGAGGCTGCGGTGGCCGGGAGCGGCCACTGCACTCCAGTCTGGGTGACAGAGTGAGACTCCAACTCAAAAAAACCCCAAAAAGTAAAATAAATAAAATTGCAATACTCAATCTATACCAATAATAAAAGATGAATACAAGTAGCATCTGACTTCTGCGATATAAGAGGGGCTCAAAGTCCAGACACTTCTGATTATGGTGAGCTACTGCAGGACTTGTGCTAGGCCTCCCGGATCTTCCCTTATGAGTGTCACACACAGTACCATGCATCTCAAACTTATCACGAATGTGTGCAATTGTTAGGCATGTTGGAGGTTCTGTTGCATACTCACGCCTCCATTGTCGTACGTTCTCGTAGTTCAAATACCACTTCAAAATGGTCTTGCACTCCTTAAATGATAACTGTGCTTCCACTATTTTCTTTGTCCCCTCTGTTGCATGGTGAGGCTAGCATTCATTTGATTAATGCATCTTTTGAGCGAATGTCATACTACACATTGCTGTTGTTATTTATGTATCACTTTTCAAAGTTGAATTAAATTACATCTCTTAAAATGTGTATGCCAGTACCCTTAAACATTTAAGGGCTGGGCTTTTTTGTTTACATGATGTCCAGCTTTGTGTTGGCTAACCTTACTTTTTTTTCCTGGAAGTATTAAAATTTAGTTAAAGAAAAAAATGTGTATGCATTTTTTTGGCACCCCCAGTATAATCATATCTATACTGAAAGAAGGCAAATGGGGTAAAATGTTAACGATAGATGACTTGGGTATATGAGATTCTTTGCACTATTCTCGTGACTCTTAGTTTGAAATTACTTCCTAACAAAAAGTTACAAACAGAAGAACCAGTGATAGAGATCATTCCTGTCTAGTGTCTAGTGCCTGGCAACATTTCAACTAATGTGGGTCCTTGTCTCCTGACTCCCTTCTGCAGGAACTTCCATGTCTGGAACGAGTGCTGGATGGTCCGGAAAGACCTCCCGCCAGGATACAATGGATGGCAGGTCCTGGACCCCACTCCCCAGCAGACCAGCAGTGGTAAGTGAGGACCACTGTGGCAGGGTCCAGGCCTTATGGGGAGGCCGATTAGGGTGACTGACCATGAGAGCAGGTGCTAGAAGGAGCAGCCTTTCCCCACTTCTCTCTCTTCCCAAAACCGGAGACCACTTCGGATCAGGAATCTAACGTCGCTCTCGTCCCAAAGTCAGAGACAGCTTTGGATCAGAAATCTAGCTTCGCCACTGACAGTGGAGTCACTGGATAAGTCAGTGGGCCTCAGTTGTCTCCTGTAAAGTGGGGAAGATGAGGCTGACAATTGCCTCTTCACAGAGTAGCTGTCAGGCTCAGGGAGAGTCAGATGAATTGATAGGAACAAAAGGACTTGGTGAACTGGAGAGCACCGCATGGGGGAGGGTCAGCAGTGCCATCGTGCTTTCCATCTCCCCACCTCCCATAGCCGCTCCTGACAAGTTGCTCCTGGCCCCCATTGTCAGCAGCCATGCTCCTCAGTTCCTGTTGCCTCCACAGGACTGTTCTGCTGTGGCCCTGCCTCGGTGAAGGCTATCAGGGAAGGGGAGATTCACCTGCCCTATGACACTCCTTTTGTGTATGCCGAAGTGAATGCTGATGAAGTCATTTGGCTCTTCGGGGATGGCCAGGCCCAAGAAATCCTGGCCCACAACACCAATTCCATAGGGAAGGAGATCAGCACCAAGGTGGTAGGGTCAGACCAGCGCCAGAACATCACCAGCTCCTACAAGTATCCAGAAGGTGCCTGGGTCCCTGGGGGTTTGGGATGAGGGCTGGCATATCTGCCTTTGTGCTGCTCTCCAGTTGGGATGTCTCCAGGTTAAAACCATCACCATCTAATCACCCCTTCCTCATGGTAAACTCCCAGGATTTTTCCTGGACATGTGGCCCTAGAGTAGGGTTGCCAGATTTAGCAAATAAAGATACAGGGTGATCAGTTAAATTTGAATTCCAGAAAGATTCAGATAAACAAATATTTTATTAATATAAGTAGGTCCTGAATGTTGCATGAGACATACTAAAAAGTATTCACTGTTTATGTAAAATGCAAATTTAACTGGGTGTGATTTTTTAATAGACACGTGTGCTCCCAATATTGCATGCAACATACTATATACTAAAAGTTATGTGTTATTTATCTGAAATTCTAATTTAGTTGGATGTCCTGCATTTCATCTGGTAACTCTATCCTGGGGTCACACCACTGTCTCCTATATCCATGGTAGGAGGGGTGGTGGCAAGGGATAAGGTGGACACTCAGGAGGAATGGGCTCCTGGGCTTGTAGAAGGGGGTGGATATAACCATGGAGTCAGGCTGCGTGAGTACTCGATAAGGCTCTGCTGTGTTCTAGCTGTATAAGCCTGGACATAGCTTACCACCTCTGTGCCTCCATTTCCTCATCTGTTAAATGGGATGACAGTATCTCAGAGGGCAGTCGTGGGGGTAAATGAGTTAATCCATAGAAAGCACTGGGAATAGTGCCTCTGGGAACCACTTTAGAGAAATCCACAGCTGGTGGTAAGTTTGGGTTAAGCCTTGATGTTGAGTAGTTCCCAGGGACAAGAGATGAAGCTCTTTTTAAGAGATTTGAACATATATTTTAGCAGCGATGACACTGAAGGAGGAAAGATGTCTCTGGCTTCGATGATGATGCCAGCAATGATGGTGGCAACACTGATGACAAAGGATAGTGCTTTGTAGAGTGAAGTGCTTACGTTCAGCGACTCACTTAACCCAGCCTTTTCTTTTCTTTTTTAGAGACAGGGACTCACTCTGTTACCCAGGCTAGAGTGCAGTGATGCAGTGGTGTGATCCTGGCTCACTGCTGCCTCAACCTCCTGGGCTCAAGCAATCTTCTCACCTCAGCCCCCAGAGTAGCTGGAACTTCAGGCGTGCACCACCATGCCCAGCTAATTTTCGTATTTTTTATAGAGGCAAGGTCTCACTGTGTTGCCCAGGTTGGTCTCTAACTTCTGGGCTCAAGCAGCTCTCCTGCCTTGGCCTCCCCAAATGCTAGGATTACAGGCATGAGCCATGCCACCACACCTGGCCAACCCAACTTTTGTGGGGGAGACCTCTATGTGGAAAGCAGGTATCATCCCTGGGTTACAGATGACAAAACTGAGCACCCAGAGATTGAGGAACTGTGACAGAGCAAGGATTTGAACCCAGTCCCAAGCAGCACTAATCCCAGTGTTCTCAGCCTCTACACTGCATTGCCTCTTGAAGCTGGTCTTCATGTGGCTGGGTCCTGGAGAGCAGGCTGGGAGTTTCTGAGTGATGTGTTTACCCCCCAAAGTCATTGGTCCTCTTCACCCCTCCCCACTGATGTCTTTCCTGTCTTTCTGCCAGGATCCATGGAGGAGCGATCTGTATTCATGAAGGCTTCCCGGAAAACGCTGGGCCCCAAAAGAGCCTCTTCAACTTTCCTGGATCTCCTAAGATCTGGAGGTATTGGGGATCAACCAGTACGGCTGCAGCTTCATCTGACCAGGACGCCTGAGTGGGGTCAGGACCTGCTGCTGATGCTGCATATCCGGAGGGTGCCAGGCAGAACCCATCCTCAGGGTTCCATTGGGCTGGTGGTGCGCTTCTGTGCACAGGCCCTGCTGCATGGAGGTGGCACCCGGGAGCCCCTCTGGAGGCACATGGTGCAACTGAATCTAGACTCTGGGAAGGGTGAGTATGAGGCAGGCCTGAGAGGGCACCTGTAGGGAGAGGAGCTTTGGGGCCATGAACATGGCTGGGCTGGACCAGCCAGATCACATAGATACCCCTTCCCTCAACACATGACATTCTGGGCAGTGAAGCTGCCAGCTGCTGCACTTCTGATGCCACCCCACCAGATGAGATGTAACAGTGAGCAGTCTGTGCAGGGTAGGCACACTGTCTGTCCATCTCTGTCTCTCTCTTTCTCTTTCCACACACACACACACACACACACACACACACACACACACACTTTCACATTCATTCTTGTATAGACTTACACATATTATTTCTCATGTGAAAACTAATTTTCCCTCTCTCACATGTTCTCTCTCTCTCTCTCTCCTGTTCCCTGGACTCAAAATGTGACTTGTTTGATTTTTTTTTAAGATGGATTATTTTTTTCTCTTTATTTCAATAGCTTTAGGATGTACAAATAGGTTTTGGTCTGGGCTTTAAGTGTACCTACCGCCCCCACCCATTCACACTGTACCCGAAAGTGGATTTTTCATCCCTCCATCCCTTCCCTCCTACCTCTTCCGAGTCTCCAGTGTCCATTCTCTAAATCTTGTGGATCCTTGGTTTAGCTCCCACTTATAAACAAGAACATGTGGTGTTTGGTTTTCTGTTTCTGAGCTAGTTCACTTAGGATCAAGATGTTTTCCTTCTGTGCACAGAGACACAGTGGCCACTCCTACTGCCCTATAGCAGTTACAGAAACAAGCTAACAGACGAAAAGCTGATCCGTGTATCTGGCATTGCTGAGGTTGAAGAGACAGGGAGGTGCATGCTGGTCCTAAAAGATATCTCTCTGGAGCCTCCCCACTTAACTATTGAGGTGGGTATCTGGACCCAAGTGGGGGCCCATCAAACCCAGGGGCCAGGGGTACTGAAGTGAACAAGACACTGTCCCTGCCGATGATTACAGCACAGTATGGTGTGGTCTTCTGTGCTCTTTACAAGTGCAGCGTGGGGCATGAAGTCTTCTCAGAGGAGGTGATATTTTGCCAAGGATGCACAGGAAGTCACTGAGTAGAGAAATGAGACAGACACGAAAGCATTCTAAATAAGGAAATAGTTTTGCAGAGGCAAAGAAACATGAAAGGCAAGTGACTGGGAGATGGAGTAGAGGAGATAGATTGAAGAGAGACCACAAGGTCAAATTCAAAGAGTGACTGCTGATAAGATGGGGTGACGAGGAAGAGAGAAACAGATGAAAAATGAGCCTTAGATTTTGAGTTCAGATGTGTGAATGGCTGGTGAGGCTGTTTCACAAGGAAGGAATTCCAGATGAAGGTAGGGTAAGTGGAAGATGGCAGGGGTGTTCTTCGTTTCCCATTACCAGGGTTTTCCTTCCCTGAAGCCTCGTTGCCCAGCCTTCCTCTCCCACTCTGAAAGACTTGCTCGCTGCCTAATCCAGACCTGGCTCTGCATCTGGAGGCTTCTCCCACAGTATGCCCATCCTCACTGCAAATGAGAACTGGGTGGCTCCAAATTGTAAATCAGCTGGCCCACCCTTTGATTTTCAATTGGGTGCACTGTTGCATTGTCTGGCCGACTGATGCCGGGCAGCGTGGTGGGGCAAACAGAGGGCAGAATCACAGGTGCAGACACAAGCCTGGGGCTGAGGCCGGACCTCTGGTCCTTACCTGAGGCAGAGCCCTGGTTGCAACAGACCCCGATGCAAACACAGCACATTTCAAGTAGGCTGTTAATTGGCCCCCACCAGCAAGGGACCTACGGATGATCTGTGCTCCTACAGTTATTTCAGCCTGTTCTGCTCTGACATCCTCATTAGGGTGCATGGGACTTGGTTTGAATTCCAGATAAGTTAGGGTGAGTTATTCCTTTTCCTCGATTCTCTGGCCAACCCAGAACATGCCGCTAATATGATCTGGGTGGTCAGAGCTCATTTCAGTTCAACACACATTTACCAATCTAGGCACAGGGGCTCCAGAAGTGAGTAGGACAGGATCCCTGCCTCCCACTCACAGGCCACATCCCTGCTTTCCCCGTGGCACAGACCTCGGAGAGATACACTGAGCACACCTGGAAAAAGCACACATGTATCCTGCTAATGTACATGAAGACAGAGCAGTGTCAGGGGACGATTCTGAGCTGGGGTCTAAGCCACCTAAGTCAGGTCCCCACTCTGCCATTAACCCCATCATGGGGCCTTGGCCTCATTGTTTCCTCGGTGATGAGCAAAAGGGTAGAATGACGTCATTGATGGCACAGGGGAGGCACACGTGACACCACTTCCTCATCCCACACCTGTGTCACGCACTGCTGATTAACCATGACTCTCTCACTGCCTCTGGATTTGTCCTTGAGATCCTTTTTAACAGTCTTCCTATGTTCCACCACTCACTGACTGAAGCTGGCTCTTCCACTGAAATTGTGTGGGCATCTCAAACTAGATGTTGGGGAGCGAAACGGGTTTCAGCTCGGTGCTAATTCCTGATTGTGGTGGCTTCCTGGAGTGCTGTGACCTAAGATAGCCTAGTGTATGTGTCAATCTCAAATACTCTCCATGTATACTCCTCTCTTCCAACTGTAGCGTTTTAGCTCTAAGTAGCAGTTACTAGTGGTCCCCCAGGGGGTGGGGGAGGAAGGTAACTGAGGAGGGGTGCAGAAGTGAGGCCAGTTGCCCAAAGAATTTCTATTGTCTCTCCACACAGGTATCTGAGAGGGCTGAGGTGGGCAAGGCTCTGAGAGTCCACATCACCCTCACCAATACTTTGACGGTGGCTCTGAGCAGCTGCACGATGGTGCTGGAGGGAAGTGGCCTCATTGATGGGCAGATAGCAAATGAGTAAGTAATGCCACCCACCCACCTATCACATGCTGTGCTCGGATAAGTGGTGCCTCATGGGTTCATGAGACCTTCCTCAGCCTTTTACATGGTGCCTCCTTACCCCCTTTTCCCGTCCTCCTCAGAAAAGGTAGAACTCAGTGGTGTTGGGAAGGGAGAGGTACTTGTGCCCAAGAGGAGAAACCAAATCACCCACCCAAGTAGTTCTTCCTCAAGGCACTCACAGGCTCTTTCTGACTTTCAGCCTTGGGACGCTCATGGCCGGACACAGCGTCCATATTAAGATGGAACTCTATCCCATCAAAACTGGACCCCGCCAGCTACAAGTCCTCATCAGCTGCAACGAGGCCAAGGAGATCAAGGGCTACAAGGACATCCTCATCACTGCAGCTGGAGCCTCCTGATCCCTGCCTCGCCTTCCTCCTGCCTTCCCTAGCACCCCCAGCCCCGTCTTGCTCCTTTCTACTCCCAAATGTGTTGTCTTTCCTTCACCTCTGTCCTTTCCCCATTCTGCCTGGGAGTGAATGGAGCTTTGTTAGAACTACTGTGCGGTTTGGAAAGAGACAATAAAGATTTCTTTATTGTCTTGTTCCTACACTAACAAGCCACTTATTGCCACTGGCTGGCCTTTTTTTTTTGAGTCAGAGTCTCACTGTTGCCCCAGGCTAGAGTGCAGAAGTGCAGTGGCATGCTCATGGCCACCACAGTCTCGACCTGCTGGGCTCAGGCGATTATTCTGCCTCAGCCTTCCAAGTAGCTGGAACTACAGGCATGCGCTACCATGCCCAGCTAATTGTTTGATTTTTTTGTAGAGACGAGGTCTTGCCAAGTTGCCCAGACTGGTCTCAAACGCCTAGTCTCAGGCAATCCTCTTGCCTCTGCCTCCCAAAGTGCTGAGATGACACGTGTGAGCACCACGCCTGGTCACTGGCTGGTCTTCTTGGCCTGGCTGCCAGCTGTGTGGCTGGACTCTTGCTGCTCCTCCTGTCCTCTCCCTCCTCCTGAGCCTCAACCATAAAAGAAGCCCACCACCATCCCCTTTAATGCAACTTCTCTGGAATTAAGGATCCCAGTTCTCTTCATTTAAGTTGCCTTAGCAAGACTGCAGGCAGAGGCTGGAGAGAAGTCTGGGGAGGGTGATCAGGATGTGTTGTGAGGACAGCGACTGCCATGCCATGGTGACCAGCTGTCCAGAAACTGCCCAGAAGGACTGCTGTGCTCCCAGCCTAGAACATCGCAGTAGGACTGGGCAGCCACCTTTCCACACTCATCCATTCAACAAACTTTACCTGAGGGACTCTGAGCAGAACCCCAGGATGACTGGGAAGCACTTCATAGCTGGCTGCTGTCTTGCAACAGTCTCATTTTCCGGACCCCATCCCCTCCCTCTTTCTCTGTCACCCTAATCTTTTAACTCTCCAGTTACCCTAACTCTCCTCAGCTTTTCTTCCTTTGCATTTTTTGTTATTGTTATTTTAAGGACAGAGGAAGCCACTCTTTTTTAGTTTCCCCCTGTGGTTACCAAAATCATTCCTGCTCATTCTATTATAGACGACTTGGTAAGGACCAAAAACAAAACAAAACAAAACAAGAAAGGAAAAGAAACAACAACAGCAAATCACCACTAGCTCCCCTATTCCAGAGGAAATCTTACTAACATTTTACAGTAGATCATTCTGGTCTTCCCAACACCCCTCTTATAATGTTTTTTTTAATTACCAAAATTTTTATTTTAAATTTATTTGTTTGTTTATTATGGAGACGAGGGACTCACTATATTGCCCAGGCGGTCTTGAACTCCTGGCCTCAAGCAATCTTCCCACCTTGGCCTCCCAAAGTGCTAGGATTATAAATGTGAGCCACTATGCCTAGCCTATCATGCTTCTAAGTCATTATTACAAATGGATACATCTCCATCATAGATAATTTAGGAAATCCAGAAACAGAAAAGGAGAACATCCTCCTGCTGGTTTTCAGATGTGGGCCTTTTGCCCTCGTCCACTTCTTACCTGCTCTGTGGCTCTGCAGGTTAATTTGGCTCTTCTTGCCCTACTCCTTCTCTTCGTCCCCCTCTTCCTCCCTCTCTTCATCCTCCTCCCCCTCCCCCTTTTCCTTCTCCTCCTCCTCCTCCCTGTGTTTTTTATTAGTTTGCTTGCTTGCCCTTAATCCTCCTCATCCTCTCTTCTATTTTCTGTCTCTGGGTGACCCCCCTCTAGGCCTGCACCTGCTCCAGCCCTGCCTGCACACGGTTGCTTGGGGCAGGAAAGGTAGGAGCCTGCATGCCCTTACTCCACCTTGTGTGCCAGCTGTGCCTGTCCCCGTTTAGTGCCATTGAGCATTTCTGTGGTGCCCTGTCACTGCTTTGTGATGCTGTGTCCCTGATGGCTCCCCACCCCCATGAGAGGGTCACCTGTACTAGCCCTTGCAGAGATATACAACCCTGCTTGTCTGCCGAGTGCTGGGTCCTCCTATGTTTAGTCACCGTCTCCTGTTCTGTCCCTGGGTGTGTCATTGGAGGGGAAACAGTGGGTAGGAATCCTCCCAGGGAATGTGGATGTTAGTCATTTCTGCCTTACCAGTTCACCTTTCAAGTTATTTTCTCTATCCCCATCTAAAAATTGGCTTTAAACATTATACTCTGTAGTGTTTTCTTTATTTTTTCTTTCTTTCTTTTGCTTTCTTTCTTTCTTTCCTTCCTTCCTTCCTTCCTTCCTTCCTTCCTTCCTTCCTTCCT